ATGATACATGGTCGCACATCCTAGGAATCCGTAACTAACTAACAAAGTAATATTTTTTGTGCATGTAATATTTTTTGTGCATGTCATGTCGCACATAACTTTCTTTTTTTCTCAGAAGGCGACTCTTCTCTCCCCAAAGGCGACACCTCTCCATTCTCCATCATTTCAAGCTGGCGCTGGTTTCTCCGGTGTCGGTTGGCTGTTTCCTTTCATTTAGTATTTTCATGTAGAGACAATCATGAATGATTCACTTGTCTCATCCACACAAATCCTAAAAGCTCTTAAACACAAACTCAGCTTTAGTATAAGAAATAACTCTTTTTATTAATGTTTAGAAAATAGCTCAAAACTAAACACTAAAGTTTTTATGTTTATTTTATGTTTGTTACAACTCAACAAACATATATATATATATATATATATATAAGAATCAATATTTCCTAATCCTACTTCTAATTGAACTAGGTAAATTTCCCTTTTAGTCATATCTTATTATTAACCGACTTGTTAACAATGTCTTAGGCCTAAAGCTAAAAAAGTTTATCCAACAATCACCCCCTTAAACTTCGAGTCCATCTCTGAAAGGTCCTGAACACCGATCAAACTCCTAATTCTCTTGAACTTGATTCTTACAAGGGCCTTTGTCAACATATCAGCACATTGTTTTTCTCCGGATACAAACTCCACCTCGATCTGCTCATATTTGACAGCACTATCGAATGAAATGATATCGCTTGTGAATGTGTTTGCTTCTTCCATAAAAAACAGGGTTTCGAGTGAGAGCAATGGCCGACTTGTTATCAACATGTTATCTCATTGTTGTCTTTTCATACCTTCGACCAGTTATCTCATTCAGCAAGTCTTGGAGCCATATGGCTTGCTTCGCAGCTTACGTCGCTGCCATAAACTCGGGTTCGCAAGATGATAATGCAACGGTTTGTTACTTCTGCGAGCACCAAGTGATTGGTGATTCACCGAAGTAAAACACATGATCACTTGTACTCTTTCCGTCGTCAAGATCTACATTGTGGCTGCTGTCGTTGTAACCCACAATTTTCCTTGTTCCTCTACGTTTATATATCAAGCCGAAACCTGCTGTTCCTTGGAGGTACCACAAAATATGTTTCAATGCAGTACCATGCGATTGCCGTGGATCCTGCATATACCTGCTGGCTACTCCTACCAAGAAAGCAAGATCAGGTCTTGTGTGCAGCAAACACCTCAAGAAACCTATCCTTCTTCGATATAAAGTGGCATCTTCGGATTCCTCTTCTTGAGCTTTAGACATTTTTAAACCAAACTCCATGGGAATGTGAGTTGGATTACGATAATCTAACCCAGCCTCCTTTAAAAAAATTCGAGCATAAGCTTCTTGTTTAATCTCAATTCCATCTTTGCTATGTTTCACTTCTATACAAGATAGTAGGTAAGCTTGCCAAGGTCTGACATCTCGAACTTCAAAGACATTCCTGCCTTGAATTCTTGTATGATCCCAACCGAATTTCCTGTCACAAAGAGATCATCGACATATACGGCTACGATCAAAGATTTACCCATTCTACCTTATGATACATGGCACTTTCTTTTGAACATTTTTTGAAGTTCATCCCCTTCAAATTTTGATTAAGCTTTTGTGTTCCATGCTTGTGGGGCTTGTCTTAAGCCATATAAAACCTTTGAGAGTTTGAAAACCTTATGCTCTTCTCCCTTTTTTTCAAATCCCTCAGGCTGTGACACATACACGTCTTCGTTTAGCTCTCCATATAGGAATGCAGTTTTGACGTCGAGATGATGAATCTCCCACCCGTGAGAAGCAGCTAATCCCACGAGTAGCCTCACTGTTTCTATTCGAGCCACTGGTGCAAATACTTTGTCAAAATTAACTCCTGATTCTTGAACATATCCTTGTTTGCAACAAGTCTGGCATTGAATTTTTTTATTGTGCCATCTGCGTTTCTCTTGATTTTAAAAAATCACTTGAGACCTATGACCTTGACCCCTCTTGGTTTATCGACTAGAGTCCAAATCTTGTTTTTATTAATTGAAGAGATCTCGTCTTTACAGACTTGTGTCCATTCGTCTGAATCCTTTGCTTCGCTACAGTTCATTGGCTCATCGTTTAGCGACAATAGAAGCCTTTAACACTCGATATCTGCTACAAAGTCTTTGGTATCCTGGACGATTCACTTGTCTCCCAGACCTTGTGAATTGTGGCAGATTTCCGATGATGGAATCATTGTGTATATGTTCCTCATTGTTGCTCTGTTATTCTGTCGTTTCTTCATGAGCTTCATTGTCACTTTGCTGTTTGTGTTGAACTTCTATATCAGCATTGGTTTCGGATGAACTAGCACCTTCTTTGTAGAGTCCTTGTCCTTCGTCTGTGACTGCTCCTCAAGTCATTCAGAACTTACCAGGTTCGCTATTACCCCCTGATGGGCGTCAAGGTCACAGTTTTTTTGCAAGCTCGTTGGTCTGGAGTTTTAAATTTATAAAATCGTAATGTCTGAAAGTGGACATATGTATGTTGTAGGACTTAGGTTTTGATCCACAGTAAAAATGTCTAATCTGCAAGTAAACACCAAACTGGGATAGTAAGCGAAGTAATAAACTCATGGGGGGGGGGGTTTGGGGTTTTTTGGTTACAGAATCCTAAACTAATTCTAATCTAATATTTACAAGAAATTAAATGCAATGCAAATGAGTTGCTTAAAAATATCTCAAGGGTGTTCGACTCAAACTAAGGACTCTAGACTCATAGTGGGCGATTTAGACTTCTCCGGTTTACTCTAATCGATGTCAAAGCATTTCCAATTAACTTCCGGGCAATTTATCCTTATCTATTTCTAGGATCTGCATGGAACTGGAATAGACATATGTATGATTAACCAACTCTCGTCATCTTAACCAACTAATCACTTAAATCTGATAATTAACTCTCGCTCTCATGCTAGGAATAAGATTATGCATTTACTACTGAATTTGTTTGCTCACATCTTCTCTACAGGTAGCTCTCGACTCCTGTAGCGACTATGTTCTTCTGAAGCTAGGTATGGATGATCTGATACAGCACTCTCGTGGCTCTGATCGATCCTAGGCTCAGAGAATAGGTCATGAATCTACTCGCATGCAATATGAACAACTTAAAAGAGATGAGATCCAGAATATGGTTTAGAAACTTAGAAATCCTAATCGAACATGTATACATATCGATGACTCTATAGAAATATGACTCTCTTGGACAAATCTACATGATGCAGGAAATGATAAAACACATGAAATATGCAGAAGAATGAAATAGACTAGCTAATTAGATAAACAGGAGATAGAACAACGGATCCAGGGAAGAATCCCCTTCTCCATCGCCTAACCCTGAAAAACAGAGTTTGGTGGCTCAAAAACTCATTACAGGAGCACACACCCGATTAGGACCGCTAATAAATGTATTTATATGTCCTAAGGTCTTCCAGGTCTCATTTAGGGCTTCTATGAAGAGAAATGATGAAATGGGCTTTGATGTTGGGCCTTGTGATTCAGCATAGGTCCACCGGGGGTGAGAGTCTTCTAGGGCAGGTGAAACACTTGTTTGTCGTGAGTGAGAGTCTTCAGGGACTGGTGAATTTGTCAACTTGCTCTTCATGTATCTTTTGATTGCACCGTTGGATTGTCCTGATGTAAAGTGATATGAAAAGCTAGTTGTCTCCTCTAGAATGTCTCCAAATTTGAGTTGGATCAGATGGTGAGAAAGACTTCATTTGAGGCTGAAATTCTGATAGTCTGACTCTGGGCTAAAAATGTAGATTTCTTCCATTTTGTCATCTCTTTCCCTAAGTTTTCTGAAAAGAGGCTTGAAACTACAAACATAGAGAAATCATATTAAAAGTTCCTAAAATTGATTAAAACCTTCGAAAAAGCATTTAAAATCAATGGTAAAAATGGGTACAAATACGGTGTTATCACCCTCTGTATTAGGACCCTTCCAATTCCAACATGCTCCTTCATTGAGAGCTACGTCTCGGCTTACAATGAATCTCCTTGTTGTTGGGTTGTATAGCCTATAGACTTTGGATCCAGGTTCTATTCTTAGATGAACCAGCTGTTGAGAACGATCGTCGAGCTTCTTCATGTTAACAGGCTCGATTTTCGCGTAAACTAAGCAGCCGAAAACTCTGAGATGATTGACACCTGGTTTCCTGTTCTTAAGGCATTCATAGGGCGTCTGATTTTTCAAATCTCTTATGGGGATTCGATTTATCTAATATGTTGAATGTCGAACTGCTTCTCCCCATAAGTAATTTGGAACCCTCTTTGCCTTTAAGATACTTCTGGTCATCTTCATTAGTGTATGATATCTTCTTTTGACTACTCCATTTTGCTGCGGAGTTTAGGGAGCTGTCAGATGTTGATTGATCCCGTTTACGCTGCAAAACTCTTGAAATTCTTTCGATGTGAACTCGCTACCTCTGTCCGTACAAAGTATTTTTATCATCTTCTCACATTCTTTTTCTACCATGTTCTTGAAACCTTTGAACTCACAAATGCTTCTCCCTTTTTCTTTTAACAAAATCGTCCACATATATCTTGTATGATCATCAATGATCACAAAGACATATCTGTTGCAAGCTGGTGTAGTTGGTGATATCGGTCCGCATAGGTCAGTATGTATGAGTTCCAAATGGTGAGAGGATTGATATCGAGTTGCAGCTGGGAATGCTTGACGGGTGTGTTTTCCAACTAAGCATGACTCGCATAGTTGTTTTTCAGTCTCGATCTTTGGTAAGCCTTGAACCATCTTAAGAGACGACATGCTCTTGATAATTTTAAAGCTTATGTGACAGAGCCTGGCATGCCATCTCCATGTTTCTTCCTCCATCTTCGAATGAAAGCAAACTGGTTTACCAATCTTCAGGTTTATCTTGTAAAGTCTGTTAGCAGATCTTAGTACTCTTACTAAGAGTTTTCCATTAGGATCGTGTAGTGTTAGAAAATTTTGTTTCCTTCTAACATCTCAGCCATGCTTTTTTGCTTGCCCCTAAGCTAAGAATGTTGCTTTTTATCGTGAGAATGTAGTAGATGTCGGGAACCAGCTTCTGTTCGCCTGTTTTTCCTTCAAACAGAATCAATCCTTTGCTACCAATATCGATACATGATCCATCTCCAAACTTTACCTTACCCTTGATATTCTCATTCAATTCCAGGAAGAATGATTTCACACCAGTCATGTGATTACTCGCTCCGTTTTCTAAGTACCAGGTACCTTCTTTGCCCTTTTCTTTCTCGTATTTCTTAGGTACCAAGCTCTCCTCATTAAGGAACACTGTCTTGTGCATGTAGAGAGCTTCGTCTGCTTCTTCGGTCTCTACTTTGTTTGCTTCTTGATTCTGCTTCCTGTCGGGACAGACTGAAGCAAAATGCCCTGCTTTATCGCACCTGTAACAGATCACTGTCGATCTATCCTTCTTTTTTTAGTCTGATTCGTCGACCTTTTTTGAGAATTAGATTCTCCTCCTCTGCCTTGTCCCCTGTTTCCTCTGCCTCCTCGTCCTCTGTTTACCTCCTCGAGAGTTACTTTGATCTGATTTTGGGTATAAAAGCTTTCCTTGAGTATCGTCTTCTTTGTCGTCGTCTACGATTCTCTCCTAGTAAGCTTTAAGTCGTCTAACAATTTCTTCAAAACCTGTTGTCTTCAGATCAAGGACTTGTTCGAGGGAAGCAACAATTTGAATGAACTTGCCTCTCGAAAAAATGTTGAGAAATTTCATTACTAGTCTTGGTTCATCAATCGTTCCTCTGAGAGCTGTAGCTTTTGATGCAAGCTGAGATAGCTTCCCAGAAAATTCATTGATCGTGTCTGAGTCCGCCATCTTCATCTTCTCGAACTCAGACATCAAAATTTTCAGCCGCGCCTCTTTAACATGTTCTGCCTCTAAATTACGCGTTTTGATCGAGTTCCATACTGTAGGTCTTTTGGAGAGATTTGATCACCAATTTGTAAAATTAGGGTTTCCGGGATTGATTGGAAGAGTAATGCTATCGCGATATCTTTTTTATCAGGTTCAGTCGAACCAGGCCAATTGCTTCCCAAACTTTATGAAGTCGTAATATTACTCGCATCCTCATTGCCCATACCGTATAATTTGTTGGCATTGGATCGACGACGGTATAGTCTCCTTCCAAGCAGCGACGGTGATCATGATGGCCTTGGAGGACTCGTCTCTTCCTCCTGCCAGTGACGTGCGAAGGTTTATAGGGAAAATAATAAAAAATAGGATTTTTTAATAAAAATATATAATATAATTTTAAAATCATATAAAATATTCAAAAATAAAATCTTAAATCTAAAAAAACTAAAACATAATCTTTCTTTCTTGTTTTTCAATAAACTCTTTTACCAAACTTCGTAAGGTTCTTAACTAGTTCTCTTTCTATAGCTATGATAGTTAGGTCATTCAATCTTTTTTCTTCTTTTTTGCTTCATTTGAATACGTTTTCAGAGGTATCTTTTGTAATATCAATGATGAAAATAAACAATATAGCAAATCAACATTCTCATAGAAAAATCTATAGAATAAAGAGCTGAAACAAAAGAATAAAAAAATGGTGAAGTAAATATGTCTTTGAAAGTTTGAAGAAGCTGATAACCTAAGAAAATCTTAATTAATTTTCTAAACATATTCCCCCAACTTAATTTACAAAAGTTGAATTTCCTAAAAAATATTCCCCCAATTTATATTTTTAAATATATATAAAAAAAAATTGAACTCAGAAACTTTGAATCACATCACTCACACTAACCACATATTACAAAAAGGGACCCTAAAATTTAATATATTCTGGGGGCTTGAGGCAAAAGCCTTTTTCATTACACTGTAGGCACGGCTCTGCCTCCTGCCATAGTTTCCGGCGATGTCTCTCCTTGGCTTCTTCTCTTTACGATTTGCTCTGATACCAAATAAAGACTCTTAAACATAAACTCAGCTTTGTATAAGAAATAAATTTTTTTATTAATGTTTAGAAAATAGCTCAAAAATAAACACCAAAGCTCTTATACCTATATCTTGTGTTTGCCACAACTCAACAAACTCATATATAGGAATTAATATTTCCTAATCGTACTTTTAATAGAACTAGGTAAAATTTCTTTTAGGCATATCTTATTATTAATCGACTTGTTAACAATGTCTTAGATCTTAAGCTAAAGAAGTTTATCCAACAAACTCGTCAAAGCCTCCAATCCTCTCATGGTTCTCTTTGACAATTCATCTCCAAGATGTCGTTCTCTTTGTCTCTCTTCTAGAGAGTGTTGTTCTGGCTGTAATCCAGCCAAAGTGCAAGATCAATTGTGCTAGTTTTATTCTGTTGGGATTTCTTCATGCAGATGCAGTTATAGTTTTTTTTTTTTTACAAATGTGTCACTTCATATTGGAAACTCCTCTCACTCCACCGTAGGGTCTGGTTCTGGCCACAATTAAACCATCAAATTGGTTGCCTACCCAGTCAGTTTAAAAGTTCAAACCTTTATGATTTTAGACTATCCAAATCGAGAGAGCAACTTCAGTTATGGTACTGGGATCCGGGGATATCTATTATAAAAACAACATCGGCCATGAAGAATATTCTGGAAGAAATGTGCATGCAATTAATGCCTCTAGTTTCGGTATAGAAAATGAAGTGATGAAACTATATATTGCCAGATCTTTGCAACAAATTGGAGAAAAAAGATGATGTGTAGTATCATAGATTATTCGACTGGTATTGGCCAAAACTGGCATGTAAGGGATGCATCGATGAATTTCAGGTTTCAATCTATTGACATAATCGGGTCAGGGATTTGCTAGGCTAGGCAAATATTGGATATTATATCGAGTTTTAGAAGATTTGTTTCAGAATCATTTCCATCAACATTTAAATCCATTTTATTAAGTTAGTAATTCTAAGAGCATTGTAGAGTTTCATCAGCATGGTAATAGCCAATAAAAAAATAATATAGGTTAATTGCTTTCCATTTCTTCATCGAAATTGTTTCAGTTTCCTATATATATGTTAACTTATTAAGGGAAAAACTCTAATCTTATTATTTCCATAAGCAGTGTATATATACATTACATAACTAATGTATCAGAAACCCTAATGGGCCATGAGACATTAACCTGATGGTTAATAGGCCGGTTACTAGAACTCCATTTGTTTATAACACTCCCCCTTGGACAAGGTAACCGTGCCTGTCACAAAACCGGGATCTCTATAATGCGCTGGAGAACGTTGCCTCATTAAAACCTTACCAGGAAAACCCAGTGGGAAAAACCATGGTGAAGGAAAAAGAGTACAACACGCATTACTCCCCCTGGTTTAGGCATCACTGTAGATCTCTAAGTCTACGCATTCCTATCTGATGAATGAGCTTCCGGAGTGTAGAAGTCGGTAATGATTTAGTGAATAGATCGGCTGAATTTTCGCTTGATCGGACTTGCTGAACCTTGACCTGACCATCCTTCTGTAGCTCATAAGTGAAGAAGAATTTGGGCAGAATATGCTTCGTCCGGTCACCTTTGATGTAGCCGTCCTTGAGTTGAGCGATACAAGCTGCATTGTCTTCATACATCACCGTAGGCTCCTTATCTTCGTTCATACCACAATCTGATCGGATATGCTGAGTCATGGACCGCAACCAAACACACTCTCTACTAGCTTCGTGAATGGCCAAGATTTCCGCATGGTTGGATGAGGTAGCGGCAATAGTCTGCTTCATGGATCTCCAAGATATGGCTGTTCCTCCATGCGTGAAAACATAACCGGTTTGAGACCGGACACAGTGCGGATCTGACAAATATCCTGCATCAGCAAAACCAACTAGACCATCCTTGTTATGGTTAGAATAAAATAATCCCAAGTCCTTAGTACCTTGAAGGTATCTAAGGATGTGCTTAATACCGTTCCAGTGCCTTTGAGTTGGACACGAACTAAAGCGAGCTAAGAGGCTCACGGCAAAGCAGATGTCTGGTCTAGTGTGACTAGCCAAGTACATTAATGCTCCTATGGCACTGAGGTATGGCATTTCAGGACCGAGGATTTCTTCATCGTCCTTCTTTGGACCGAATGGATCACTATCCAATCCAAGGCTCCTCACAACCATTGGGATGGTCAATGGGTGGGCCTGGTCCATATTGAATCTCTTGAGTACCTTTTCAGTGTATGCCAATTGATGCACAAGGATTCCGTCATTGACGTACTCAAATTGTAATCCCAAACAGAATTTAGTTTTGCCTAGGTCTTTCATTTCAAACTCTGCTTTTAAGCATTCAACTGTTTGGGCGATTTCACCAGATGTTCCGAGGATGTTCAAGTCATCCACGTATACTGCTATGATTACAAATCCTTTGTTTTGATATTTTCTGATGAAGATGCATGGACTGATCGGATCGTTTTCGTAGCCTTCTCTGATGAGATATTCGCTTAACCGGTTATACCACATACGTCCGCTTTGTTTCAGTCCATATAAGGATTTGTTCAGCCTAATGCAGTGTTTATCACGAGATGCATGCTTATCTTTGAGCTCAATACCATCTGGTAATCTCATATAGATTTCACTGTCCAGTGGTCCATAAAGATATGCGGTTACAACATCCATTAACCGCAAATCTAAGTTTTCTCTTATGGCCAGACTTATGAGGAATCGAAATGTAGTTGCATCCACCACTGGAGAATAAGTCTCCTCATAATCGATTCCGGGTCTCTGTGAGAATCTTTGTGCTACAAGGCGTGCCTTGTATCTAACGACTTCGCCGAGTTCGTTTCTTTTACGCACAAATACCCATTTGTTTCCCACTGGTTTAACATCGAATGGTGTCCTTAAGATCGGACCAAACACATTCCGTTTCTTTAAACTATTCAACTCCACGTTTATGGCTTCTTTCCATTTCAGCCAATCTGATCTACGAGTGCACTCAATTATAGACGTGGGTTCTAGATCCTCTTGCGTGTGCGCAATCTCAAGTGCTACCTTGTATGCAAAAGTTTCATTGATGTCGACATCTTTTCTGTTCCATAGAGAACCGAATATGATATAATTGATTGAGATCTCATTATTATCAATCTCTTCAGAACCTTGACTTTTGGCGTCCCAAACCTCTTGAGATGGTTCGATAGGGTAAGTATCAGCTGAGGCTGTATCCGTGTTCTCTTGAATCCCGGTTTCAATCATTGCACCTTTCTTTGATTTCCGGGGATTCTTATCTTTGGAACCTGGTGGTCTGCCACGTTTCTTACGTGCGTCAGACTCTGTAGCAACTTGACTTTTCCCTGAGGGGACATCTATTCGTACTGGTGCATTACAAGCTGGTATGTACGATTTGGTAACTTTGTTCGGGTCAGCAAAGGAATCTGGCAATTGATTAGCTAGCTTTTGTAAATGTATAATTCTTTGGACCTCTGAATCACATTCTAGAGTCCGAGGATCTTGCCATTGTGTGGATGTTTGATTCCATGAAAGTTCTTTTACCAGCTTGTCTGTCTCACCACCTAATCTAGGATATACCGATTCATCAAATCGGCAATTTGCATATCTGGCTTTAAACAGATCTCCTGTAGTTGGCTCGAGATATTTTATGATGGTGGGAGAATCAAAACCAACATATATTCCCATCCGCCTTTGAGGTCCCATTTTAGTCCTCTGTGGTGGTGCAATGGGTACATAGACTGAACACCCAAATGTTTTAATATGGGAGACGACTGGCTCATGACCCGTTAGCAATTGGGATGGTGAATATTTGTGCTCACTAGATGGTCGTATGCGTATTAGTTCAGCGGCATGTAAGACTGCGTGTCCCCAAGCTGAGACCGGGAGTTGTGACCTCATGAGTAATGG